GATCCGTTTCATACCTTCCTTGCACACACATTCGCATTTTCAACTAATACACCCGTTCTGATAATTCTTCTACGATCCGGAAGCCTTTCTCTTTCATTCCTCCAGTGCTACACTACAAGCCGAAGATATCATAGAACCTCCGAGCCTCTTTTCATAATCCGCTGCAAAACCTCGATTCTTACCCATACTTATGGACTCGAAATCCTTAGTCACCATGCCTTAACCTTTGAATCCACTAGGACCGTTGTTGAGAGTCACCCACTCTTGCTTGGTCCTGAATAAAATCAACCCCAAGGCTCCGCTGGCACATGAACACCCATCTCCATAGAGCACCCGATTGAATCACTTCCTTATAAACCATCTCCGTATGGAACACATATCCTGAGTCTTCCCAAAGCCCAAACAAGAATCGATAAGGTCATTTATGGCACACATCTCTCAAACCATTCACTAAAATTACCACTTATATTCTTTTCCCTTAACTGAAATAACTTGCCATTATGCTAATGGCCTGAAACCTTACAAGAAGATAATCATGCAGCCCAATCGTAGGCGGTGGGACTCTCCCACTTAGCTTGAAGTCACCATTACACAACTCTAGAACCCAATAAAGATTCTTTCTTCATTGTTGACATGATCTAGCACAACCAACCCGCAAAATTCCTCAAAATATTTTGGTAAAAACCTTTATGAATACTCTGAATCATTAACCACATTCGCATGACCGATATTTTTACCGTATATCTAGTAGAATTATTCGCAGAAGCTTCGCCAACTATGTGAACGCTGATCTACTCGCAGGAGATAACCCACCTGTGGAAATTACATGCCGGCATCTCCCAACGACGCTGCACTAGGTACCAACACTATGAAATCTATAACCCATCCCGAGCTCGTGCTCATTCGCCAACTGCACTAGTCTGTTTTCTTCTTATGGACATCACTAAATACATGACAATATCTTCCAATTCAAAGTCATGTTGTATCCTTCTTCACATCAAGCAACTCCTTTCCGTTGTATCAAATCTCCCGCCATATAGTGGTCGATATTTCAAGTGAAGTCCGAAAACCAGTCATTGTCCACCCTGAATCCCGATTCACTCTAGACTTTTCTTCGGGTGTGTAGTTATCCTGCCACTGATCCCATATGCTACTCTGCCACTCTCCCACTTTGGCCAAACTCACTCTTTTAAGCAACTACTCGACTTCTGCTTCTCACACTTGGCCTTCTAGAAGTTTAATCACCACAAGACACTTCCCACATGTCCTTCCTCATCCTTCGCTGCCAAGTTGTTGCCTTAAATAAAAATCTATCTTTGTAGCACCTGAACCAATAGATCGCCACTAACTTTAAGCCCTTCCGAAGGTCATCTTCCCCGAGTCGTTGACATTAGAAATACTGATTCAATCCTGAACCACTGCACACCGCGATCTCTAACAATCGTTTCTTCAATATTATCTCACAATATCCTGCTCTAAAGGCGAATGGTAGAAGATCATAACACCGGCGAACTTAACACATATAATCGAGTACGACGACACCACATCGCAAATAAAAATTCCACCACACTTGAACTCACCAAGTCTCGTTACTCTATCAACCCAAACCTGATCATTTATAGTTTGATTGCCTTTCCTCCGCCGGAAATAAAATACCAAATATTTGAATCCTGCACAGAGTAGACCTCCTTTTAAGTCATCCGCTAACCCGACATATGAGCAAGCATCCTACCATCATATCAACATTGTGCGATAACCAATCATGAGCATCATAACAACCTGTGCATAGCCTTATGCTCTCAAAAGTGCAACTACCGAGCTGAAATGACATAATATCCTTCCGCAAGGTGACGACAATAGCCCAACCAACTATGTCGGGAGAAACATCCCGCACCACATCTGTAGCACCATTAAAATTCCTCAACTCCAATTTATAATAGGTTGGTGTCACATAAGATTGAGTAGGAAGGAAACAAGGGCATAAGCCTCAAAGGAAATCAAATCGCACGATGAGGAATCAAGAAGGGAAGTGCTCCTAACAGCCTCGTAGCCTCTCGAAGATAAGTACAGACGTCTCCGTACCGATCCACGAGACTCTACTAGACATGCTCATGACTCATGAGACTGAAGGGAACCTAGTGCTCTAATACCATGTTGTCACGACCCAAAATTCACTAAGGGTCGTGATGACGCCGGGCACCACTGTCAGGAAAGCTAACACTAAGAAGTTAATTAAATTCCCATTTTAGTATTTATTGAAATCATTTCTTTTATACATTAAATAATAAACAATGAAATTCACTAAAATAAAAATGATGTCTTTACAAAATTTATTTATTGAATAATCCCGAAACTATCCCAGAACCCGGTGTCACAAGTGCATGAGCAATCACTAGAAAATCAACTGAAGTACAATAATTGTCCGGAATACAAATTTGGATAGAAGGTAAATACTATACACTGAAAGAGACTATGCTGGCTTCGAGTCGCCTCGAGAGATGCAGCTCACCTAAGTCTCTGTATCATCCATGCTGCTACGCCTATTAGGTCGCTAGAGGTACATGTGCATGTGCAACAAAAATACACAGCAAGTGCAGCATGAGTACAAAAACAATGTGTACTCACTAAGTATCCCGTCTAATCTCGAAGAAGTAGAGACGAGAGGTCGACTTCGACACTTACTAGTGGTCCAATAATAATATACTAATGTAACGACCCGGCCGGTTGTTTCATGAGTTACCGCTCAGTTTCTCCAATTTCTGTTTCTTTATGTGTTGTTCGGCTGGATTTCATCACATCATGTTGGTTAGTTTGGGTTCGGAGTGGTTTTTGTAGAGGAATGAGACACTTAGTCTCTTATTTGGAAGCTTTAGTTGGAAAAGTCAAGTAGAAGTTGACTTGTGAGTAAATAATCATGGAACTTGGTTTTTATGGTTCGGATAGATTCTTTAGGTGATTTGGGACTTAGGAGCGTGATCAGAATGTAATTTGGAGGTCCGTGGTAGATTTGGGCTTGAATTGGCGAAATTGGAATTTTGGCGTTTTCCGGTTGGTAGTGGAAATTTTGATATCGGGTCGGAATGGAATTCTGGAAATTGGAGTAGGTCCGTTGTGTCATTTATGACGTGTGTACAAAATTTCAGGTCATTCGGATGAGGTTTGATAGACTTTTTGATCGTTTGTGAAATTCGGAAGTTTTGGAATCCTTAGGCTTGAATCCGAAGGTGATTTGGTGTTTCGGCGTTGTTTTGAGTGTTCCGAGGGTTGGTATAAGTTTGAACAGTAGTATATGACTTGTTCGTATTTTTGGTTGAGGTCCCGGGGGCCTCGAGATGAATTAGGAAGGTTGTCGGAAAGTTTGGAATTGGAGTTGAGCAGCTTCAGCTGCTGTTCCTGTCATAACCGCACCTGCAGAATGGGGACCGCAGGTGCGAGCCACGGAAGCGGAAACAAAAATCAATCTTGTCTTTTTTCATGTAAGCAGGAATCAATTAACAATTCAGTAATAAACTTTGTCAACATTGTCATATCAAATCTTATGTTTGGGAGGTTTCCAAGACAGGATCATATAATCTGTGTCACTCTGTGGACCCCTTCGTAAAAGGAGTCAGATATAATAGTAGGTCCCTACTCGAGGGAAAACTATAACTATATGCTAGTTATACCTTCCCATTAGCGAGGGTTATAACTGTAATCGTAATCTGTAAATACAAGGTGCACCAGGCCTAACGAACCCGTCGTTAGCTGCGGATCCTTCAAAGTCTCCTCCCATTTTCTTGTAACCACTAAATATTCATAAGAAAGCATTTTCACAATAATAAAGGGCATATCAATTCTTATCAAATCATGTAAATCCATTTCGGTAATGGTAACCATATCTCAAGTAACAATAAAGCATGTCTAGTAACAGTAAGACATTTTAAATAACGGTAAACATCTCCAGTAAACTGTTCAGTACCATATCAAGTAAAGTACTTGTCCCACATGCAATTTCAAACATTCAGTAACACATTTTATTTTCAAAATAACGTATAAACCATGCAGGTTATGTAAACACAAATTGTGGTAAGATTACTACTCACAATATTCTTGTTTGAACTATCAAACGTATAGCCTCGAGCAATCCGTACAACTTCCTTCGATCAATCTCTCATCACATAATATCAACCTCGTGTTGATTTCCTCGTTTATGCGGATTTGGAACTAATCAGAGTACACCACTCTCAGTTTCATGTTTAAATCACTAATTTTTTGGGTAATGGTATATTAAAACATCAGCACAAAGGAAGTGCTGGAATCCATATTTAGAGATTACAAAATGCAAAAATATCACCTGCACATCTTACAGGGATCCTATGACATCTATTGATTGAATTATATGTACTCGTGCTATGAGCAACTTAGTTAGTCCATAGTTTATCAACTTCGGTCTATTCATACAATTTATTCATCTCACGTTTTACCCAAAAGCACTGAAATCAGTGCTTAATCCCAAACAAAAGAGTACCTTACTACCCATCATACTTATTTTTAATATTAATTTTTAGTACCCAATGGAATTAAATAAACCAGAGAACAAGCACAACAAAGCTATATAAATGATTTACCTTGAGCCGAAAGAACTCTTCCACGATTTGCAGGATTTTAAAGCTTTCGAACTTCTCGTATTTCTACCTTTTTTCGTTGAGTAAAACACTGTTATTTTTTCAATTGAATGAGAAGAAAAGAAAATTTTTGAAAATGATCTTTGCTGATGGGTGAATATGTTCAATGAACCAAGTGGAAAACTTCTGTTTCAATATGTTTAAGAAAATATGTGGGTTCTTATATGAACAAACAGGGGCCTCAAGTAAATCATCTAGCCTTTGCGGATGATACGATAATATTTACCAGTGGAAGCAGGAAGACACTAAGATTAACCATGAGGGCATTGACCAAATACGAGAAAGCATCAGGGCAGAAGATTAATAAGACAAAGAGTTGTGTCATGCTATCACCAGATGCCTCAGCAAAAACTAGGAATAGAGTGGCTAAACACAGAATTTCAGCTTAAAAATTTTCCTGTCAAATATCTAGGATGCCCACTAATAGCTGGAAGACAAAAAATATGCCATTATGCAGAGCTGATAACCAAAATTAGAGTTAGGGAATGGCAAACAAGATTACTCTCGCCAGGGGGAAAGGCAATACTAATCAGGCATGTCCTACAAGCCATTCCTATTCATCTACTATCAGCTATGCACCCACCAAAAGGAGTTTTTCAGCAGATAGAAAAGATCCTAGCCAGTTGTTTTTGGAGAGGATCAGATGGTAATGATAGACATCACTGGGCATCTTGGAAGGTCCTATGTTACCCTTACCAAGAGGATGGTGCACAATTCAGAAGGTTGCAGGATGTGTACAAGGCCTTTACAGTTAAATCCTGGTGGAACTTACGAACGGGCTGCTCACTATGGAGGGATTTTATGCTAGCCAAATATTGCAGGAGAGGGCATCCTACAACAGTACGCTGGCACTCTAGACAATCCCACCATTGGAAGGCACTATGTGAAATTAAAAATATAGCAGAAAAAAGTTGATCTGGATACCGGGTGAGGGCAATGTGTCATTCTGGTATGACAACTGGACGGGGCAAGGAGCTCTAGTGAGTCAACTAGAGGAAGAGGCGAAGCCTAAGGATATTCCATTGTCCAGGGTACTCAGACATGGTGAGTGGAAATTAGATGCACTAGATGTGGACGTACCAGACATTGTTAGAAGTATATTGCAACAACAATCTATAGATTTAACTCCAGGAGCAGTGGATAGAGCAATATGGTCTGCAAACGACTCAGGAAAATTCACAGTAGCTTCAGCCTGGGAATTATTACGGCAAAAACAAAGTCAGTCACCTATGGCTTCTAAAATTTGGCATAAGCAAGTCCCTTTTAAGATGGCTTTTACCACTTGGAGGGCAATACATAATGGGCTGCCCACAGATGACAGGATAGCCATGTTCGCCATTAATTTAGTCTCAATGTGTTCCTGCTGCTACCCGCCTTCCTCTGAGCTAGAAACTGTGGAGCACATTTTTTACTATAGTAATTTTGCCCAAGCTATTTGGAAAAAGTTCGCAGGCTTGTTTGGTATTCAAGTTGAAGGACTGCATTTCAAACAACTACTGATAAACTGATGGGGACATAAAACTGCGAATGTAGTTGCTTCTCTCATTGTTAAAATTCTTCCGGCTGTGATCATCTGGGAACTCTGGAGATCGAGGAATGCCTCAAAATATGGGGAAGAATCGCCATCAAGATGCAGGTCAGAGTATAACATCATTCAGGTTCTCTGTGAGTTAGTAAAGCAAAAGTTTGGGAGGCTACAATTACAATACTCTTGGGAACAATTGCGATACATTGTTGATAAACCAGTAATACACAAATCATGCATTATTGTTAAATGGAAAAAACCACCAGAAGGGAACTACAAATTGAATACAGATGGTAGTTGTGGGGCAGGAGGAGTTATACGAGATAGTAGAGGGCAACTTGTATTGGCCTTCTCAATTTATCTAGGGCACGGTACAAACAACTGGGCGGAGAGCCAAGCTATGCTATTTGGATTGCAACTATGTGAAGCAAATGACCTTGACAATATCCAGGTAGAGACAGATTCGCAGATACTAACATCATGTATGAATAGAAAGACCACGACGCCATGGAGGATGATCCAAGCAGTGGACACCATCAAACAGGTAATCGATGAGAAAGGGTTTGTCGTGCAACATTGTTTTCGTGAAGAAAACAAAGTAGCAGATAAATTGGCAGCACTTGGTCATACGCACAAAAGGCGCCTGGTATACACCAACTATGAAAGGCTCCCAAGAGTAGTTAGAGGACTTATCCAACTTGATAAATGGGAGATGGCATCCTTTAGAATTAGACCACTGAAAGCTAGGGAAATTCATTTTGACCCCCCATAATGTATAGATATAACAGTCATTCTTTAGTACAGTTAGGATGCATAGAGGATAGAGGTTGGAATGCCGAATATGAATCTCCTTTTGAAGAAGTATGTTTGGAAAATGGCATTATTCACCAAACAACTGCCCCTTACTCTCCACAATCTAATGGAATTGCGGAGAGAAAGAATCGAACGCTGAAAGAGATGATGAATGCGTTGTTGATAAGTTCAGGTTTACTACAGAACTTGTGGGGGGAAGCTATACTTACAGCTAACCGAATAATCAACCGTGTACCTCATAGTAAAACACAGTCCATTCCCTATGAAAAATGGAAAGGAAGGAAGCCCAGCTTGAAATACTTCAAAGTGTGGGGGTGTTTAGCTAAGGTACAAGTTCCTAAACCTAAAAGGGTTAAGATAGGTCCAAAAACGGTTGATCGTGTATTTATTATATATGTAACCAATAGCAAGGCATATCGTTTTCTGGTTCATAAGTCAGAAAATCCTGAGATTCACATTAATACGATAATAGAATCAGATAACGTTGAATTCTTTGAAACTATTTATCCGTATAAAAAGGAAAGTGAAGTGACCTACCAAAAGTCAAAATGACCTCGGGAGGAAATAACAGATGGTATGCCTAATGAGGAAAATCCGAGAAGAAGTAAACGTCAACGGACATCTACTTCATTCGGTCTAGATTTTCTGACTTTCCTGCTAGAAAATGAGCCTCGTACCTTCAAGGAAGCAATGTCTTCCTCAGAAGCACAATATTGGAAAGAAGCTGTCAATAGTGAAATAGAATCCATATTGAGCAACCATACCTGGGAATTGGTTGATCTTCCTCCAGGTAACAAAACATTGGGTTCTAAATGGATTTTCAAGAAGAAAATGAAAGACGATGGTACTATTGACAAATACAAGGCAAGACTTGTTGTCAAAGGATTTAGACAGCGAGAAGGTCTTGACTATTTTGACACATACTCGCCGGTAACAAGAATTACATCCATTCGGATGCTAATAGCGTTAGCCGCCTTGTATGGTCTTCAAATCCATCAAATGGATGTAAAAACAGCCTTCTTAAATGGTGATCTAGAGGAAGAAATTTACATGAACCAACCCGAAGGGTTTGTGGTTCCGGGAAAAGAAAAGAAGGTGTATCGACTTGTTAAGTCCCTTTATGGACTAAAACAAGCACCCAAGCAATGGCATGCGAAATTTGACCAAACAATGTTGTCAAATGGCTTTAAGATTAATGAATGTGATAAATGTGTTTACATTATGAACGTTCCAAATCATATAGTCATTGTTTGCTTATATGTTGATGATATGCTAATAATGAGCAAAGATATTGCTGACATTCAAGCTACTAAGCGTATGCTTGCTAGTAAGTTTGATATGAAAGACTTAGGAGTTGCCGATGTAATTCTAGGAATTAAACTCCAGAGGACTCCTCAGGGTCTAGCTTTGTCTCAATCACATTACGTGAAAATGGTACTTGAAAAATTCAAACACTTGGAATTTAGAAGTGCAAGAACTCCAATTGACTTAAATCATCATCTTATAAAGAATAAAGGTGAAAGTACGTCTCAATTGGAGTATGCTCGTGTGTTGGGAAGCTTAATGTACATCATGAACTGTACACGACCTGATATAGCTTGTGCAATAAGTAAACTTAGTCGATTCACAAGTAATCCAAACAAACATCACTGGATGGCAATGAAACGAGTTCTGGGATATTTGGAATATACCCAAGACTACGCTTTGCACTACAATAAATATCCTGCGGTTATCGAAGGATATAGTGATGCAAATTGGATAACCGGCTCAACAGAAACAAAGTCCACAAGTGGATATGTTTTTACTGTTGGTGGAGGAGCAGTATCTTGGAAGTCTTCCAAACAAACGTGCATCGCTCGCTCTACAATGGAATCAGAGTTTATAGCTTTGGATAAAGCCGGTGAAGAAGCTGAATGGCTTCGAAATTTCTTAGAAGACATTCGTTCTGGCCAAAACCTTTGGCTCCTATTTGCATACATTGCGATAGTGAGGCTGCAATAGGACGGGCAAGGAGCGTTATGTATAACGGAAAGTCTCGTCATATATGACGAAGACATAACACCGTTAGACAACTACTTTCTAGTGGAATTATCACTATTGATAATGTAAGATCAAAGGATAATGTGGCGGATCCGCTTACAAAAGACTTAACTAGAGAAGGAGTTGAGAAATCATCTAAGGGAATGGGACTATGGCCGAGGACAAGTCAACATGGCGGTAACTCTACCTAGAATTTTGGATGTTCCGAGATCTAGGTTCAAGGAGCTCAAACAAAGTTGTGATTGACCGGTTCAACATTGTCAAAGTAAAATCTTTGGTCCCTTCTCGTGATGAAGACAATGTTCAGTAACAAGGATAGAACTTTACACGTTCTTTAATGATTACCTAAGTTTGATGTGGTATTTATCAAATAGTGTCAATCAAAAGGATTACACGTTTAGGAATCACCTATGTAAGTGTGAAGTGGAAGCCGCTTCAATGAGAATTCTGTAAGGCCAATTCTCTACGCACTTATGAAACCGGGCGGTGTTCATGGCTGAAACGAACACAACAATGAGAACCAAAAGACGGGTAAGGGTTGGTTGTGTGATATATGGTTGTCTAGGTATACACTAAAGTTCGACGGTTCAAAGATATCAAATCTACCGATTGACCGAGTATATCCGACATATGTTCACTACGGAAAGTTCAAAGGGAAACCTACTTATCCAGATGCAATTAATCCTTACTTGCAAATCACACAGCTTTCATCTATGATCATTCTTGTTACAGCCATTCTCATTCATGTGGGGGATTGTTGGACTTTAAAGCATTGGGCTTCAAAGACTTTAAGCATTGGGCTTTAAAGTCTAAGAGTGTAAATTGGAAATGGTGGGAAATAAAATGGAGGGAAATGAAAATTTGAATGAAGTGAGCTTTTGTCTTGAACTTTGTCCCTCATTGGTGAGGGACAACTACATTTGTGTGTATATATATAGAATCACTTCTTAAAGCTCTTAAAAGGAGTTGAAGAGAATGAACCCTCGCGCCATCGTCGTCGCTCGCTCGGCTCGGCTTCGGCTTTGGATTTGGATTTGGATTTGGATTTGTCAAATGATCGATCGATAAGATTATCTTTGGACAAAATTTATTTAATTAATTATTTAATAATTAATTAAATGTCAGTTAGTTAGCCGTTGTCCGGGTGTAATAGGACCGCGCCAGAACACTGCTGCAGATTCAGAAGGCCACTCTGGCCGCGGTCCTGGCGTAACCGCGGTAGGACCGCGGCAGGACGCGTAAACTTCTGAACAGACAGCTTTTCCAGAACAAACATCACACCTCTTCCAATAATTGCCTATAAATTCTGAGGCATGGCATCGTTTTTAATACACTGTAAAATTAAAAAAACTTTTTTCTTTCTGAAAATACTGCATTCTTATTCGCAGTCTCTCTCTCTCAAATTCGTAAGTGTGATTTTGCTCCGTTCTTTGAGTTCGTTGGTATCCTGTAGTTTGTATTGCCACTATTGCAGGAAGGTCTATTCCGTTTCCTCCTGGGAGGATTTAATCCATTACCTTGGCAACATGTGAGGGGGTTAAAATTCTTTAAGGACGCACAAGCAAATTGTGGACTCGGAATATTTCTTATTCTTTACTGTTTTCCAGTTTCTTTTATTCTTCTAACAGTTTTCTGATTTTGTGTTTTAACACAGTAGCGGATACAAGCTTAAGGAATTTTAATACTAACGTTTCTGTATTGAAATATATATTAAACTGTTATTTATATTTTGTATACTGGTTTAGAGACTAAAGCCTTCGTGCTTTCTACTCCAATAATTGTTCTATCCGGTTTAAAGTATATCAAAACTTTACCGGAATAATAAACGTACGGGTTTGAAGTATATAAAAACTTCACCATTGTTACGTGTTGTATGTTTGGTTTGGTATTCAGTTTGAATATATCAAAACTTTACTGATTTAACAAAGTTCTGTTTTGTTTCCAACTTTACAGAAAAAATGACGAATGAAAATCAAACTAATGGAAATGTTGCGGGAACGGGTGCTACTATTATGAATGTTGCTGCCTCGTCAAGCCGTTCAACTCCTGCTCATGCTATGGCACCAGCAGAAAAACCCGAAAAGTTTTTCGGTATCGGCTTCAAATGCTGGCAAATGAATATGCTCTTCTATCTTACCACGTTGAGTTTGCAACGATTCATCAAGGAGGATCCTCCGATCCTGGCTGAAGACACTCCGGATAATGAATGATTTGTTGTAACTGAAGCATGGAAGCATTCTGATTTCTTGTGCAAAAACTATATTTTGAGTTGTTTGCAAGATAGCTTGTACAATGTCTATAGTGTCATGGAAATTTCAAAAGCGTTGTGGAATGCGCTTGAGAAAAAGTACAAGACTGAGGATGCCGGACTTTAGAAGTTCGTGGCTGCAAGGTTTTTTGATTTCAAGATGATTGACACGATGTCGGTCATAACTCAAGTCCAAGAATTACAAGTCATTGTGCATGACCTCCTTGCTGAAGGTATGACCCGAATCAATAATTTTATTAATAAGATTTATCTTGTTATTAATTATGAATTTATTATTGAAGGTATGGTCATAAATGAGGCCTTTCATGTCGCTGCTTTCATTGAGAAGTTACATCCGTTATGGAAGGACTTTAAGAACTATCTTAAACACAAGCGGAAGGAAATGACACTAGAAGACTTGATTGTTCGTTTGAGGATAGAAGAAGACAACAAAAATTCTAAAAAGAAGTGACGTGGAAGCTCGACAATAATAAGGGCTAACATTATTGAGGAGGCGCCACAAAATAAGAAGAGAAAGAAAGCTTCTGGACCAAAGAATTATCCAAGCAAGAAAAAGTTCAAGGGTAATTGCCACAACTATGGAAAATCTGCGCATAAGGCCGTGGATTGTCGTGCACCAAAGAATGATAAGAAGAAGAAGAAGAATCAAG